TTGATTCACTTCATCGCAAGCCCCCTATGCTTATTTGAACAGGAGAGCCGTGACGGTTTACTGCTTATTTTATTATGCAAACTGCGCAAAAAAGCTTCGCACTTCGGCGGCACCTAGCACTCGAATGCGACCGACACGGAGAACTAAAACAAAAGTGTGCAGATCGCTTGCCTGAAGACGGAAAAAAAATGGATGAGAGCGACTCGAGTGCGATTTAAATAAGCCAGCCTAAATTACGGCTGATACAGCATGCGTTGACCATCCCGTTTTGGAACGTGCCACGCATTCCGCTTCCATTTGGGATTGTAGAGGCTTTTAAATATGACGGAGCCGACACAAGCTGTATGTAAATAATTGCGCTTTAGCGTAACTGGCCAACTCTGGTTTGCAAATATCCGATCGGACGGGAGGGGAACATTTTACTTCGACAAATATACGATCCAGGATTGGGGATTCCGCGACGCGCTCGCGTGTGATAGGAGCGCGTTTCGTCCCCGACGATTTCCACCTATAGTAAGGTTTTGAGACAAAGCGGGCCAAACGTCGTTCGGCATTCGAATATGGAGGTTGTTTTTATGATTCCGGGAAGTGGAGGGTCGTAGTCGCATTTTGGTGTAGCGTTATCAAGTGGAAACAAAGATCGGTGAAAAGGTTGCCAATTGTGAGATTTGGTGAAAGTTTTGGGAAAGTAGCACAAAGTATACAAATGTGGAGGATTTTCCACTTCATGGTACAATCTCCCCCCCCCCGCGGCTGTTTTAGAGGGAAAAGTGGGCAGAGTTGGGCGGTTTCGACCGGTCCCAAAATCAAGTACTATACATAGAAACAGCCATGATGGCGTGGGTGCGAGCGGGGCGGGGGGGACGCGCGTAATTGTATTGAGGGATCCTCCTGAAACGGTGGTGGGGTTAGAGGGTCGGCACCGGTAGGGACCTAGTCGAAGCGCTGGGGGGGGGGGGCGTCGCAAATTTAAAGGAAACAAGTGCCGAAACGTGCGTGTTCGACCCCCCGCTTGAGACACTAAAAGTACAATTAGAGATGTTACTGTCTGACGAAGAAAGTAAAGCAAAGGAGACTACCGAAGAATTGCGAACAAGGATCTCAATATTGTAGCTCTCTGGAAAACGTACGAGAACAAAGCAAAGAAACTGGATGTTGCATGGCGCCCGCTATTCAAGACAGCGTACTGATCAGAGCACTCCGTTGTTCTCAGGTATAGGAATAATTATACTAATTACCACTCTTATAGTTTAATATGTCTCAATATGACTAGGCAACCAAAGGGAAGATTTTCGTGAGGCTTTGTCGCTCAAGCAATATGCCTTTCGCGACAAGGGCCCGTACTCTCAGGGGCGACAATCTGCGCAGTACCATACAGAGTGTCGCAGTGTTTGTGTGCGCTCCCCGATAAAACAACAGGCCTTATCCTGCAGGTTCCGTAAGTACTGCTTTTTGGAACGGCCACAGCCTCCCCATGGAAAGCGCAGATTATTTTGAAAACCCGTGGCAGGGATCACTTCGCTTTCCCAGTGATATAATAAGATGAATTTATTTCAGCTTATCGAAACAGTCCTTAAAGTGTGACTGCTGCAAGTGGTATTCAATCTCAAGAGCCAAGCAAGGTCTAACCGAGGCCTAGCCGTTCCCTATTCTTCCTTTTGAACAGGTGTATGCACCACACGACATGTGACCGTCAAAGAGGTCAACTGGATACTCTGTTGTATGCAGAATACGAACCGTGAAGTGGGCAGAGCCCTACGTACAAAGCAAATTTGACTATCTGTAAGTTTTTCTTGCGCCGCCTGACCTTGCGATGTGAATGCAAACGAGAGGGTCCTGGCAAGGAAAGGTCAATTGGTCAATCTGTATGAGAGGAGTATCCATGCGCCTCAATACGCTGAACTCAAAAACAAATTTCACGTTTCACTTTCTAATTCCCTTGAAGGTCTTCTTCAAGGGAACTAGAAAAGTGTAACGTATGGTGTGACTATAGAAAAATTAGCACCATAAACTTGCTACGCTTTAAGAGATAAGGTCTCGAAAGAGGAGTTTGATGTCAAAGTCCGACATCATTTGCTATCCCCCATGACAACCTACAACCCTTAGAAAACACCTCGAACATCCACATGTCACGCCTCAAAGCAGGGCTCTACTCTTAGCAAAGGAGAGTTTGTTGTAGCGTGCAAGAAAGACAAAAAAAGCGATTGCCACAATAAAGAGAAGAACGGATTAACATATTGCATGAAGCTGCTAAAAGTGAACGCTAGGAAACGTAAACCCTTTTCACTTCAGAATCCCATTCCTTCACAACATCCAAACTGTCTTATATATAATGTTTTAGAGATAACTAATTAGTATAGACATTGCAATAGCTTCTCCAGAATCACCTCTACGTGATACAAGAATGAGTCCGAGGCGGACGATTGACAGACCTTCACAAAGAAAAACTGGATGCAGAAGGAGCAGATTGTCTGCAGTCTCAACAAATAACCAAAAAATTCTCTTCCTAAGCGATAGTACGACACGTCATGTGCTCTGCTGCTCCATTATTAATAATTCCCAGGAAATTTCACATATCATGTTAATTAGAAGTACCAACAAAATTCACACAATGAGTTACCTGTCCACTTCAAGCGGTTGCCAGTGAGTATAAAGTAAAGAAAAGAACAAAGTTTGAACAGAAATAGAGAATCGTGTGAAAGGAAAGTTTAATTCACTAAAGCACCATAGAGCACAGATGCTTATGCATGAGATTATGAGTAATTATTGCCAAATTACATACGATTACGACCGATGATTAAAGTTGAACAACGGCGATATTACATTTGGTAACGGTTACCCAGCTACGATTATTGCGGTCATAGAATTCGGGGTGTTAAGACTCACACTCACACACTTTACCTACAAAACGACTTAACTGTGCTCCGCACTTGTTGGCTCAATAAACCTCAATGAAAACACCTCAAATTCTATGACCGCAATAATCAGGTGAAAAATGATGGATGAAAGGACAAAGAAAACTGAAATGAATATAGAAAATTTATGGAAGTAAGAACTAACCGCTGCAGTGCTCCTAGCATTTGCTTCGAAGACAGGCTCTTCATCGTAATCCAACTCGTATATTTCTGAAAAAAGAGTACCAGGTGTAAAAAATCCATAGTTGCGGCTCAACTCTTCCTAGTACTGCTAGTGTAAGGACTTTTCATTTATGAGAACTGGAGGAGGCACTTATACCAGTGGTATACCTTTTACCATTTCGCCCATTAAAGTTTACCAACAACATACATTGCAAAGTGTTTAAAGCTGCCATAAAGCTCAGCCCTCGTTGTTTGGCCCCCTCACCACCCGTTACCTTTCGTATACCAGTACAGTTAGGCCCTATCATCGGTTTTCCAAAAAGCCACTTTATTACGCTTTCAACCAAGAAAACAATCTAGCTTTGTACTTTTGCTCGGAATTTGAAATTCTCGTAGCATTTAGGCTAGAAGGTTTTTAATTCAAACAGAATTTCTTCGGTTACAGAAGCATATCAACATTCCCACACTTTGTGATAGCAGCTAATAGTTCCTTTTAAGAAATAAAGACCAAATTACAGTACTTGGAAGCGAAAAATTACTTGAAAAGGAACGTACCATCAGTTGCCATTGGGGAAGTAACCAGCGCAATAGAATGCCGTACTATGAACCCTAAAATGTGCAAATTACATGAGCATACTAGCTGAGAAAGAGAGGCTCAAGATTACGAATTCAAAGAAAACAATTTTAATCAAAAAAGCGCCCGGAATGTCGCCGTATTTTCGCTTTGTCCGCATTCCACGTACCACACACAACAACTACGCGCAATTTCGTGGAGCCAACTCCTCAATTGAGGAACAAGCTGCGCTTTCATCGAGGTGAAATTGAGGGCATTATCTGACTATTTGTATGCTGTGCAAATTGATTTTCCTCTTATTATTAATCCACTAGAACACCTTGAAGTGCTCAATTTGTACGTTTGCCTTCCCATAATGCTCAGAATTATGTTTCGGTTGAGTGTCCCAATTGTTTTTGTATTGCCAGTCTAGGCAAGCTTGGAGAACTGTACCCCATAGGATAGATAGCATTTCTCCTGTTTTTCAAAGCCTCAGGGACCTTGGAAACCTCGCAGACAGCAATAGCACTATTCAAGTGCTATCAAACAGTGAACCCTCTTTTTGGATTAGACGGAGCTCACTGTAGACTTCCAAAGAGTGGCTATTCCTTGGGCCATTGTCATACTTTGATTTTCTACTTTGCCTGATCGTTTAAGGTAGGCCTATTATTGAAAAAAGTTTATGCATTGATTCAGGTGTTCACTGAATTCGGTCTAAAATATTGGAGACACGGTACTTTATTTTGCGATACGCTAAATCTGTAGTCTGCTGATATCTTCCAATCAGTACTATGTCTTATATATTGCAGCTAGTCTCTGAATATTGTTGTCGCTTTGATCTTTCTCCGAAACCGGATGGCAAGTATGCGATCGCGGTTTCTTAAAAGGTCATTGCGCTTACGTGTCCGCACATGCTTTGCGGCCGTCTTGTAGTTCGTTTTGAGATTTGGAGGAGATGTACCGATCATGAAATCTACATACAGTCCACATCTTGCGTCTGATTAGGCGGGTCTACGGATTAGACGTGGCGGCAGCCGCACTTGATAGAAGACGCGTGGATAAGCTGCTTGCAGCATGCTTTGCTGATATCAAGCGGACTATGTTAGAAGCAGCTTATCCACACGACTTCTATCAAGTACGGCGACCCACGTCAAACCCGTAGACCGATCAGATTTCAAAACTAGAGTTGCAAAAAGACTGCCAGGTGCGGAAGTCGATCTAAAAAAGAAGTTCGGCAACCACCGTAGAATCGATGATGCTCCTAAAGAGACGATCTAGTAGATTTGCGTCGTAGACAATCCGCCAGTTTTCCATTTATTTTTTTCTAATTTCGCGAATGTGAATGTAAAGTGAGGTCACTAGATAGTTAAATGTCGTCAATTTCAGGATACTGCATGATATACGTATTCTTCTTTTTCATTGTTAGTCTGGTACTGTTGGGTGTATTTTTGGCCACCGGCTACCTGTGTTATCTTGTACGACATTCCAATCATGGGAAGAAGACGTTGAGTCCGCGTTCAAAAACTGTGTCCTTGTGCTGCGTGATGGGCTCTGGTGGCCACACTATGGAAATGCTCGAATTACTGAAGAACCTCAGCGCTCAGTATACTCCTCGTTGCTACGTGGTAGCTGACACAGATCAAATGAGCCAGGACAAGGTATTTTAAAGTTTGTAACTTGCAGCGAATGCTTTTTAATTCATTCTTGCATAATTTATATCATGATGTCGTTTTGTCAATAATTTGTATTCGAATCTCGATGTAACATATTACATTACCCCAAGTTGACCAGAATTTTCCCACCGTTTATTTTGGCTAATGGCTATTCCAATTTTGATCATGTTGATATCATTTGAAAGCCCGCATTCATACGCAAGTTTTCATATGCGTAGTTGTTTTTGCACGGAGCTTAAACGCGAACAAGTCTGATTATTGATGTTGCATGGGCACAAGCTGTTCGAAAGCGAATGCTGCTAAGCGTTCTTATCAAATCGCTTGGGTGAAAGTACGGGTGGAGCTGAAATGGTCTAAGAAGGTTCCGTCGACTATGAATTCGGCACCACTGAAATGACTGACATTCACGGAGCTAGCCGACCGCAAGGATCGTCCGGCAGGGTGTTCTGGAAAAAGTTATCTCTTTTGTTCACGTGTAATCTCCATATTGGAAAAAGTACAGTAGTCCATCAAAATGTGATTGAACGGAGATTGCAATTTCTCGGGAAATATTGGCCTCAAGTAATTCAGAAAAAAAGCGAAAATCCGTTTGCTAAAACGAACGCCGGAAGGTTTCTAGTTGATTTCATGTAATGCAGTGGCTTGATTAGCGTAATTGCCGTTTATAAGGCCCATTAAAAGTTAATCAAAGACCAATGTGCCTCGCGATGACTGGAGTATTAGCTGTGCTCAGTTTCAAATGGTCAGCTCACTGCGTCACATTTGTTTCGACAATAGGCTCCGTTGCGTTTGCGCATGCGGCGCAAAGCCCGCAAACGCTAGCGAATCGCGCGTTCCACTAGCGCTTGTTCGCCAAGTCCAACATCTACCTCATTAATCTCGCTTACGCTTGGTGCCGTAGTAGATGGAAATTGATTAATTCCAACGTGCGCTGCTGCAAAAGTTTTGGGCCTAGCTCGTTTTTTTGTATCTGTTTTGTGGACTGTTGTGCATTTATCAATCACGCCCAATTTTTCATGACTCAGTTGCTGAAGTAAGATCATATATACTAATGAGCAAAGAAGTATGTGTGTGGAACATTAAAGTGATTGAACGATTGATATGTAGTTTATCGCCTGTAATTTTGGCATTTTTGCTATTGAAAAATAATTTTGCATTCAAGTTTAATGACAGGATTGTAGAAGTATGAACTATAGTTTTTCGAGGATAGTTTCATATGGTGGTTTTGCAGGTAGTCGAATTTGAAAGGCAACGTGATAATGGTTCTTTTGAAGTTTGTCGGATTCCTCGAAGTCGTGAGGTTGGGCAAAGTTTTTTGACAGCAGTACCGACAACGCTGTACTCTTTCGTTCATGCACTGCGTATTGTATGGAAGGCTAGGTGCGATTTTCAGTTTTTGACAAAGGTGTTGAATTAATATGTGTTTAATTTTCCCACGTCTGTTGCTGGGTATACCTTTTTAACAGTTTAGCAGTACTCCCTTCTCTCCTTGAAACCGCTGTTATGTTAGCCGTATAGGTTTCTTTATGCCTTTATGTCTTTGCCGCTTATGAGTGCGACTATTTTTAGTCCCGATCTCCTTCTTGTAAACGGTCCTGGGAGTTGCATCCCAGTGGTTTTTGCTGCTGCATTTTTCGACATGGTACGCCTACGTGATACGGTTATAATTTACGAAGAGTCAATTTGTCGTGTTGAAAGCCTGTCCCTGTCCGGTAAGTATTTATTGCAAGAATCTTGAGGTGAAATTATGAGACCGCTGGGCTGAGCAGAAAGGGCATACTTTGAGATTGCCTGCCGCAACCGTTTGCAGTTCGACCGTGAAGCAGGCAAGTATCCGATCAAGCGACTGCATCGCACGACTGCAACGTTGCTTGATCGATACGCAATTTGCGGAAAATTACGAATCTGAGATTACTGTGACTACGAAATATGTGTGGAGAAGCAATGGGGATGCGCAATTCAGGAAAAGCTTCATAAAAGCAATGGTAGGAATGAAAGACCTTGAGAAACACACATTGATCTTTTGGGAACCTCTGTGGGTTATACGACCAAGGGTGTTTGTTGTTCCAAGCGTAGAGGGGGCAATCACTTCAGGTATCATATTTGCCGCCACTGTACTGTTGTGTGGATGGAGCCTGAAGGGCGATTTGATGAGAAAGTGGTGTAGGAGTTAATCAAAGAGCTATGTTACTACCCTGTTGTTACACTTTCTACTAGGAAGTTTAACATAAGAAGTTCAAGTTCATTTAATGTGCTTTGAGGATAGGATGTGAAACTTTTCAGTTTGTAAGCAGGCATGACCCGAAGACAGCGCTCAGACTGTCCTAGAGTGGTCCTAGCTATGCTCAACAGTGAGTATTTTAGGGTCCATTCTCTACTTCCTCGGCTTGGCTGACGATATCGTTGTTCAGTGGAAACAACTGAAGGAGAAATACCCAAGGACGACACTAATCAGTGACCTAAAGTGAGCGCAAGAGCACATTCTGCTCATATGCTTTGACAGTTCTGATGATTTGTAAGTAAATAGAATTTGCTTTGCATGTATCCTTCACTTAGCCTTGCTATTTTTTATTGTTCCCAGTTTTTCACTTCTAGTCGCTTGTCGCACCTGTACATGTTTTGAGCTATTCACTAATCTCACTCGTTTTTTCTTTTAATCTCGTTACCGATGCTCTCTTACTTTCCGAGCGAACGGCTTTCTGTGCTATAACTTTGTGATAATTTTGAAGGACTAAATGTTTGAGGTGTACTGCTCGAGTTTTTCGTAAGCCCTGTGAAATTGCCTTTTACGTGTACGGTTTCTTTTGTTATTGTATTCGCTGATACGGCTTGGAGTCAGCATTCTTTGATAGTAGGCTTTTTGCATGTTGTTGTATAGTTACAGTTTAGTCCTTCGGAAAGCTTAAGCTTTATTAGTTTAACCTTTGCAAATGCCATCATCATGCCATGTATATCCATACAATGCAAATATTATTCTTATAAATCATTACGTTTCTTTCAGTGATATTATACTTTTAACGATTCATGCTTTTTCAGAAATATTCCTGAAATGTAACGATAAGTCACCTTACAGACAAAGTTCAAGTCGACTATTGGGTCTGGTGGCGGTCTTAAGCGGATGTCAGACTTTGCGATTCCAGCGATTCGCTAGCGAATTGCTGGATAAGAGACCCTACGTTCAAAGGAAGTCCGCCACTTTCAAACAGTGTCGAGTCGCTGGTACATCGTTTGATCCGCTGGTACACAGCTCGATTCGCTAGCGCAACGCTATTCCTCGATTCGCTAGCGAATC